CTCTATGAAAAGTCGAAACGTCAAGATAAATTTAAATTATTAAATTAAATAAATGACTGCTGCTGTACAAAAATTTATTTTTATTCGCTTGTTGGCTCTAAATCGTAATAATATTTAATGTGCTTAACGATTTATGCATAAGGTTTGTAATAAATGTCAATCGTTGTTTCTTCGTGTTTCTAATATTCTAGAGATCTTTTCTTTCCTTCGTCTGAAAGAGAAAAGCCTGAACTGACTTACAAAACGTGCTTCAAACAAACATTTTCTTTTAAGTACAAAAAGCTTTAAACAATGACTAGGGCGCGTTTAATATAACGTTACTTCTAGGATCGAACTTTCGTAACGGTCATCATCCGGTACGAAAGATAATGAGCTTTGAGGACTAACTCCTCAGGAACACAGCTGAAACTTGGTTGTTTTTTCTAAATTAGAGAAAAAAATAATTCAAGCAGATGGACAAATGAATTGTGCTAAAAAAACCTACTAATTTATATGCCATATCCAAAAAGTGTCAGTGTTTCATTCGTTCCATGTTAACAGCAAAGACATTCAATATTTATTAGAATCAAGATTTTTCTAGTATAATTTGAGGGGGTGACATATTAACTTTGAGGCATCACGTAACTATTCGTTCTGTTTTGCATATCAATCAACGTTCCCTCGTTATTTTGCGAAAGAAAATATCATGGGAAAATGCACAGAATTCAAGGGACGTCAAAGCGCAAAATATATTTAAATAGTGATACAAACATGTTATTCAGATCAACAATAAAAATGTCTTCAATTAATGCCATGTTAATCACACTACTAGTCTGCGTAATGGCGATGCTTCCCCAGACTATCGGTAAGATGAAAAGTTTGTCAGTACACTCATTTCTTTTAATGAATATTTGCAGTCGGATGTTCTTGTGCTGCTGGATTATGTTGCTCGCAATGGGGCTATTGTGGAACAGGAGCAGATTACTGCGGTCCAGGATGTCAAGCAGGTCCCTGTTCTTCTTCTGTCGTCCAAAATGGTAAACGATACGCAAAGATTTTTCTTCGAAATTATTTATGTTTTGTATTACGCAGGTGGTACATTTTCTGGTGAGGCTACACACTACAGTGTAAGCGTTGGCTATACAGCATGTGGAACTCTTCATGGTGATCACGAAATGTTAGCTGCGTTAAATGCTGCCCAATTTGACCCCCACACACCATCTGGCAATCCAAATAAAAACACTCTATGTCAACGACAAGCTCAAGTTACTGGACCTCAAGGTAACGTTGTGGTCAGAATCGTTGACAAATGTCCGGGATGTCGTTACGGCGATCTCGATTTATCCGAAGCTGCTTTTAGACAAGCTGTTGGTCCTCTCGGTATTGGCCGAGCAAAAATCAGCTGGAAGTGGGTTTAATTATGAATTATATAAACACTAAAATAAACATTTTTCTGTCTAAGCTTTTTTAACGCATGAACGAACTGAAATAGTCATGAAAAATTTGCAATACTATGGACCGGGACACTTAAGACTATCTTCCACAAAATAAAATAGTTTTGAAGATGTTTAACGAGAATAGGATCTTTATGCTTCAAAAGCTGTTCTTAGAATTATTTTGGTTATTTTTCATCGACACACAGGCTGCTGATCACCCCGAGTCTCGTGATAATGTTAGTTGATGTAAACATAGTTTATTTAACGTGGGAGCAATTGAATCATTATAGCACCCACTGTAAGTAGGCATGCACCAATCCAGAAGCTTTGTCACTAAGCAGCTCAGTACTAAGCCTGCTTGGTGACCAAACGGCTCGGTACCAAGTTGGATCGGTAGCAAGCCAGCTTGGTCATCAAACAGCTGGGTGCTGAACATGATAGGTAGTAGACGGGGAGTTTGCTAATTTGTATTCTCGTGAATTTCGTATGCGTCTTTATCCAGTGTCGTTTTTGCAAAAGCTGACTGGCTATTTCCAAAAACTGCTACGTATTTTTCTGTTGCGACTTGCTTAAAAAAGCCTGACAGTTTCGCAGCACTAAGACCTCTTTGTCTCAGCAACGATGACTTTGTTTCTGGTATTGAGTATATGAAAAATAAGTGCGTTCAAAAATTTGAATTCTTAATTTAGAATACCATTATTAACTAGAACTTTGTGCTTAACTGAACTATATACCATTAGCGATATTAACTTGTACTGCACAGAACTCTTCTTGAAAGAGATAACCGATTTCGCAATTACTCTACGCACAAGTTTGGTCACATTAAGCTTTTGAATGTATTCATTCTGGATAAACCCGATGACAAAAACAAAAAACATAGTTGCTC